CGTGTTTTGTGTTGATAACCAATCAGATGTAATCGCGGGTGTGAGAATGGAGGGATGGAAGCGGGTGCGAGAAGCAAGAGGGGGAGAAGGGAGCAAGTGCGTGGCGAGCGGACGGGTGTGAGAGCTTTGGTGCGAGAATAGGAGGCAGGGAGAAGCTGGCGTGTGGAGGAGGCTGGTGGAGAAGGTGGAGAATGCGTGGAGAAGTAGGCCTAAGGGAGTGCCCTTTCTCCCTGCGACCACGATTCTCCCTTCTCCACCACCTTCACCACTACCTTCTCCACCACCTGCCTCCTTCCCACCAGCTTCTCCCTTCTTTCCCGTTCTTCATCCTCCACCAGGCTTCTCCCCCTCCTCCTTCTCCACCAGCGGTCTGCTCCTCTCCTCTTTCTGCTAATCATCCACTACCTTCTTCTCAACGTTACGAAACTACGTCCTCGTCTTCCCTCTGTCCAACCAGTTTTCATTCCGCTCCTTCTCACTAGCTTCTCCCCTCCTCCACCGACCTATATCCTCTCTTCCTCTTAGCCTCCTTCTTTTCCACGCAAGCTTCTCGAACTCAGCTCTTTTGTGCACCTATCTATCTCCCTTCTCCCCTTCCTCCTTCTCCACAGCTTCTCCCCTCCTCCTTCTCCAACTTCTCCCTTCTCCTCCTTCCTGCCTCCTTCACCGATCTTCTTCACAGCGAAGTGACGTCACGAACAGTCGCGGATTACAATCTGATTGGTGTATAACACAAGCCACGTGAATAAAAATATGCAAATTATCTCCTGTACCGGGGCGCTTGAGTACAAGGGCCCCGTGCCGGGAGTGTCGGGGCCGGCGACCTAAGCTCGGTATGTCGAGGAATGCAATGTACATCTTATGTACGAAGCGTGATGGCCATCGCATACCCCAGTGATATTCGGTACAACATGTCATCCAGAAATTCAGTTTAGCAACACCCAGCGACAATCAACACCTTCGGCTCAGCAACTCAAGGCTTTAAACATGCGCGATTGCATTAATACGTAGACTTAAGTTTACCTAAGTTAAAGTCGAAAGACAAGAACCCTTGTGGATCTCATTACCTTTAAAAAGGATTTCAATGACAATTGCCTTAGAAGGATTATTCAGATCACCCGTGTGACCGTAGTGAGCTCCTAACAGCAAGTCAATTGCAGAACTTCCTTTTTAGGGTACATTTTTATCGTGTTCCCGAGAGCTCTTTCCGAAGCAGGATGGCCGGTGACACGAAAAGTCTCACGTGACAAAATATGCAAATTATCTCCTGTACCGGCCTGAATATAGACAAACCCTAAGTTAAGCGTACTTCGTCAAAGGCACACAAGCATGCAGGTTATGTACAGACAAGAATAGCCAGCATATGTCGCATATACGTGTGGAGCGGAAAATATGCTTCCTTGCTTATAGATATCACCGACTTTGCACTAACTCTTTGACCCCTGCATTTCTTGCTGCAGCTAGCTATATAGTGCGACTTGTAAAATGACTGTTACAACAGTTACTATAACTGTGTGCAGTCTAATCTGCCTGTCGCCACCACAGGCTGCAATTAATTAGCATAATTATGTATAACCTCTCACGTACCCTCTGAGATACGTGCACCCGCAACATCTGATACAACAGCCTACTGGTTATCCGAAGTGGATTCAACAAATTCACATACGCCGGAGTACGTAATCTCACATGATAAATTCTTCAAATCATGCAATTTAATTTCAATCATTTCTCAAATCTCTCACAAGATTAATTCCTCCTGATATACTCGTAATATGTAATACGATCATCATATGCTGCTTACTTCGTATATATAATTATATGGAGATTTACAAGCCCATGCATGGTAGTAGCTATATAGGTTCTCAGTGGAATGCCTCACAGCTGTAAGGTATGTCCATTATAATCTAGTATATTTTCTATTATGGACTAGCTCTTGGTAAAATAATTAACTTTAGTATTTTTTCACAGGGTAGCAGCCTGTGCAAACCGCCCGATGACGCAAAGAGCTCTGGGTTCCCTATAATGAACATCAGCATCATAGCAGTCTTCGAATAAGCCAGTTCGTAGTTACAGTCTGCGCATGCGCAAACTTTGCTACGAATTCTTCCGGGCCAGGTCTTTTGTGACAAAATATTTCGTATTTCGACCGTACAGTACACATACGCATGCATCTGTGTCGTTGCAATGCTACAGTCTTCGCGTGTGCACGTACACGTTCGTGCGTGCGTGCGTGCGTGCGTGCGTGTGCACGTACACGTACACGTTCGTGCGTGCGTGTGCACGTACGCGTGCACGCGTGTGCACGTACACGTGCGTGCGTGTGCACATATACGTGCTTGCGTGCGTGCGTGCGTGCGTGCGTGTGCACATATACGTGCGTGCGTGCGTGTGCACGTACATATGCGTGCGTGCGTGCGTGTGCACGTATACGTGCGTGCGTGCATGCGTGTACGTGCGTGCGTGCGTGCGTGCGTGCGCACGTACACGTGCTTGCGTGCGTGTGCACGTACATGTGCGTGCGTGCGTGTGCACGTACACGTGCGTGCGTGCGTGTGCACGTACACGTGTGCGTGCATGTGTGTGCACGTACACGTGCGTGCGTGCGTGTGCACGTACACGTACGTGCGTGCGTGTGCACGTACACGTGCGTGCGTGCGTCCGTGCGTGTGCACGTACACATGCGTGCGTACGTGTGCACGCACACACGTGCGTGCGTGCGTGTGCACGTACACGTGCGTGCGTGCGTGTGCACGTACACGTGCGTGCGTGCGTGCGTTTGCACGTA